TCAGATGCCCCCAGCCAGATGCCTATCCAGCCTTCTCTTAAAGACCCCCAAGGTAGGGGAGAGCACCACCTCCCTTGGAAGCCCTTTCCAAATTTTCACCACCCTCACTGTGAAGAAGTTTTTCCTGATGTTTAGCCTAAATCTGCTCTCTGTCAGTTTGAGACCATTGTTCCTTGTTACCCCAGGAGGCGCCCTGGTAAACAGAGCATCTCCAACACCTTGCTGTGCCCCAACTAATGAATTTGTAAGTGGCCACAAGATCACTTCTCAGCCTTCTCTTGTGGAGGCTGAAGTGGTCCAGGTCTCTTAGTCTTTCCTCATAGGGCTTGGTCTGTAAACCCTTAACCATACGAATTGGCCCTCCTCTGGACCCTCTCAAGGCTATTCATATCCTTCTTAAAGTACAGTGCCCAAAACTGGACGCAGTACTCCATAAGTCTTCCTAAGATCCACAGTGGCATTATGGGAAGAAACTATCTGAGTGTCATTTAAGGAAGACTTGCAAATTAGGTTTCCATTCCTCTGAAGAGACATCTAATGTTAAAAAGAATTGTAACCTGGTGTGACGGTGGTGTGCCACCGTCATGGGCACAGACAGAGGACAGGGAAGATTGGGGGGCAGCGACAACCCCTAAACAGAACCCCGGGCCAGGTTACTTACCCCCGGGAGGGACAGCAGCGTCGGAGCTGGGACCGCGGCAGCAGCTGCAGCCGCCATTACAGCTGCATGAGCCAGCATTACGCCCGCTGCTAACAGCTGTTCCCAGTAAGGGGAACAGCTGAACCAATCGCGGAGGCCACAGCGGTTGCCGCAGGAAAGTTTAAAAGCCCCAGCAAACTCCGCGGGAGGGGGAAGCCAGGGAAGGAGAGAGAAGACATGCAGTACGTTGGTGGTGCTGCTGCGGCTTCCCCTGAGCAAAAGCCTCGGTCAGGCGGCTCTGCATCAGCCCAGCAGCCGAAGCTAAAACCAAACCCCCTGGCAAGGGCAGAAGGAGTGGTCCCTAGGAATTGCCGAGGCCAGGGCATTGATCCGGGAAGCCTCCCCATCCTGGAGGAATATTATTTCTAAACCAGGGGAGGAAAAGGGAGACGACTCTAGCTAGCGGCGGAGCCAGCAGGATTTGAAGGCAGGCTGGCTGGAGGCGACCCTTAGTCCCCTACGGTCGGGGACACCTCCCAGCAAGTAAGCCTGCAGAGAACAGCAGGCCACCATCTCACCAGCAAGTGACCGGTTGGCGAGTGGACGGGGTGTTGGGGTGGCGGAGCCCCGTGGAACAATGGAAGCCTCAACCGTGAGTACACCCGCGTCGGGGAACCCCTCTGGTAAAAGAGCTCCACTGAAGCCCTCCTTCGAATCACCCATAACATCAAAGTCGTGGCAGGAAGGACGAGGGGAGGGGCTACCTAACGGTGGGTGATACTGGACGTGAGGCTGACCAACGTCATACCTGGTTTAATGCTTAAATTACAAAACTTTTGCTTGATATAGGATCATTTGTACTTATTTTAGTTATATTACTGTTATAATCATTTAAAATTTGGTTTTCCTTTCAAATGTATTTCTGTGATTCACTTTCCCCCCTAATTTTTAAAAATAAGGAGAAATAAAAAAATTCTTACCTGGTTATTTTGTTTCTGTTAGTCTCTTCTGTCATCATTCAGCCTACTCTGGCAGTCTAGTAAATGATCAGAATGCAATTTGTAACAAATTGAAAACATTTCCTAGATGGAGACTTCAACATGTAAAATCCTTAAAAGTGGATCATGCAATTTCAAATTATTGTCTTAATATTCTTAATCGAATGTTGGAGGGCTTCTTTAGCTTTGGAAAAGCTGTTTTTGGTGCTATGAGGTATAAAGGGCGGGAGCCTTCAGCAACAACAATTCTGGACTATCTCTGAATTGCACAGGTAAGAAGTATTACCATGTGCATGTTACCCAAGACCATACCATGTTATATAACAGGAGAGAAGCTGCTAAAAAAAATCTCTCAATCAAGATTTTTAATATTTAATTAATATATTTTTTTGGAAAACCCACTGAAGAATGTACTAAAATACCAATATTTGTTTGTTAAGATATTATTTCTGTGTTTTTTAAAGAATGAAGTATGTATCATATTCAAGCACATTTTAATTT